TAACCATGATGATGTTAATGAGTTGAAGAGCTGGTGTTTCAAGTACTGAAAATAATCTGCTATTCCTAACATAAAAAGTACAGCACTCAATACATGGTAGAGTTTTTACTGTTTTTAATGATAGAAATGAGGTTACCATAGTAAAAGCTAAAATCACAAGCATAAACATAGACTTAGAGCTAGTTTCATTAGAATTAAGATATACGCTAACTCACACTAAACAATTTCATCACTTTAACAGCATACATGTCACTGTAACTAAGCAATAAATCCAAACACTATTCTTTCCCCGTATCAGATGGCTTATTTCTGATTTAAAATCACTATCACAAGGGACACAAAACAGAGGGCTTCCCAGTAAGTCTGGTGAAACAACTCTTCTTTACATCAGTCCCAGAAGATCCATATAAATCACAGTAACCAACGGGAACTGAAACTGACTATTCACCTCCCTTGCATCTGAACTCTCTCATTTCTTCTTAGGCAGTAACATGGTCCTGGTACACATGGCTTCCTGGCCTCCACACTCACAACACTTGTCTGAACCTGCTGAATTCACAACATCATTCTCCCTTTCACAAAAGTTATTCTTTTTATTAAGAGGGAGTGGGAAGCAAAATGAGGACGAAAATTAAGGGTTTTTTTAAAGAAAGAATATAAAGAAAGAAAAGCATGTTCCCATAAATTCCCAGAAACTTTACAACTATTAAAAAAAAAAAAACAAAAAAAAGATAAGAATGGGAGGGGGGAGTTGTCCTAGCTACCAAATTCTACTTTGTGATACCTGATAAAAGCTGGTCTACTTAGTAAATTATGATATCATGACCTTAGATATACCCACTTACACATATAAGACTCTCTCTCCTCCCCAAACTTTTAAGGCAAAATAGCATCTTAATTCCTCCTATAAAGCCTGGATTCTGCCCTAAGAGAAGCTACATCTTAGTTCTATGGCCTTGGGCATGTCACTATTTCTGAGTCTGACATTTCATAGAGCTGTGATGAGGGTTAGATTACTTAGCACAGTATCCAGCTGATACTATAATTACGCAGGTTCACCCTGTGTACTTTGTTCAAAGCAAATCAAAATTAGTGCTCACTCTTGCATCATCTTTTTTCACAGCTGACAGTTCTTATAATGGTGCTAACACAGTGAAGTACTCAAAATTTAAATAGCCCATGCTTAAAAAAAAAGCCTGTAAAGAGAAATTAATGCACATTAAAACATACTATTCTGTTTTCAGAATTTATTCCAGAAGAGAAACTATCTTTGCCTAAATTAAAGATCTTTAGGGCGCAAAACACCGGTGGCAAGACTTGCTCACCTCAGCAGTATTCAATCCCGTATCAGCTGACAAGCCCTGACAACTATTAGCCTCTTTACTACTTCCACTATTCACCAAAAAAAGGAAACACATCTAGTGCAAACCAAAAGCAAGTCCCTAATTCTTTCCTGCATTTGTCCCAAAACTACTTACATTAGATTTTAAAAGATTTTCCAAAGAAAACAAAATTTCTTAGTCTTTAACCAATTCTTCTCTAAACCCAGGAAACATCATAAAACTTGTTTCTATATCTAGTAAGTAAGCACTTAGCACTACTTTCTAATTATAAAGCCCACTCTAGCCACAGAGTCTATGAGTAAAATAGCTACTAAAGGAGTTTAAAAGACTTGAAAAGACTCCTATATCTCCATACTTCCCTGCCCCCAAACAAGATAATACAGGCCAAGTGTAGTGGCTCACACCAGTAATCCTAGCACTTTGGGAGACCAAGGCAGGAGGACTGCTTGAGGCCAGGCATTCCAGACCAACCTGGGCAACATGGTGAGACCTTGCTTCAGTTAAAAAAAAAAAAAAAAAAAAAAAAAGACTACACAGTCACTTGATGAGAGTAAATTATGATATCATGACCTTAGATATACCCATTTACACATATAAGACTCTCTCTCCTATTTAAAATTTTCTATCCTGTTAACTGCCTAACATCATACAAACTTTCTACACAACCAGGTGAGGCAAACTAACAGATGACAATTATCCCAGGTCCAAATCTACCTATCTGCTTATCTCTATACAGCTGAAGAGAAATATATTCCAAAAAATTACCTCCATGTAATGTCCTGCTATTCAAACCTAGAAGTTTAGTTGGAATACTCCTATCAGTAAACTGTCTTGAGGTCTCATAAAAGAAACTATCACTTAAGGAGCCAGGACTGCTGCTTTATTTTTGTTCTCAATCGACTTTACACATGTAATTTTGCAACCAGTTTGTGTTTCCTTGCTGCTAGAGCTGTATCTGCATCTTTTGGAGAGTCTCCTTATTTGGTCCCAGTTCCCTATGGCCTCTGATCTGCTCCTCTGCCTTGCTGGTAATCCAATTATCATTCTTCCTATATGCTTAAAACTGATCTAATGCCTATCTTCTGAACTGTACTATTTGCCAGACAGGGACCAGAGTAAGCATGGGGAGGGGAGCCAAGGAAAAGCAGACTGTGGTATGGTACACGTGACATGACTCACCTGTTCTAACTGTTCCATAACCTGTCCTGACCAAGTGGCTCAGATAATACTGCCTGGTTCACTCTGAAAGACTTGTTCTTGATCCCAACCTAACCCACTACACTGGGCATGACATTCCTGGCCATGTGCCTTGTCCCTAAAACTTTCTACTGAAAATAGCAGAGTTTCACAATTAATTATGGCCATACTTACAGAAAAGGAAATTAACATTCAAGTCTCCTCCCTAGATACTTTCTCACTCAAGACCTACCAAAGGCCACCGATGTAAACACAGCAATGCCCTTATTTTACAGACGAGAAAACTATGGTACTTCTCTATCTTCATATTTAAGAAAGTAAAACTAACAATACTAGATACTGTATAATGTTAACAAAGAAGTTCTTCTTGTTTGTTTTTTTTTTTTTTTTTTTTTGAGACAGTGTCTCACTCTGTCACCCAGGCTAGAGTGCAGTGGCACAATCACAGTTCATGGGAGCCTGCACCTCCTGGGCTCAGGTGATCCTCCCACCTCAGCCTCCCGAATAGCTAGGACTACAGGCACATGCCACCACATCTGGCTAATTTCTGAATTTCTGTTGAGATGGGGGTCTCACTATACTGCCCAGGCTGGTCTCAAACTTCTGGAGACAACCAATCCTCTCATCTCGGCCTCCCAAAGTACAGGCATGAGCCACCGTGCCCAGCCAAGACGACTCTTTTTAACATTGCCCTACAGAGCTGATTTTCCTTGTTCATTATATGAAAAGCAGTCCAGTGTAGTAACAAGGAATCTGGTTTACAACTTCTAATTCACTATCATTTCACCTTACAAATTCTCCTTTACCAAAAATAAAAGGCTACACCCTAGTGACTGGCACCATGTGCTTTTGTAGCATTTAAATCAAATCCTAAAATTTACAAAATAACTTTAGTATATTCCAAATTACAAGAATATTTAGTGTGCTCAATGGGATATAAAGCTTAATAAAAACACATCATTCATCCTAGACAAAATAATTCCTCCTGGGGAAGATACCTAAAATACTGTGTGGGAAAATGACCGACATTTCATTACAAAGACTTTTGAACTGTTTTAAATTTTACTATGTGCATATATTATATATTCTAAAACTAAGTATACCTATAGATTCAATTACCAATTTACAGGAAATACAGGACATACGAAAGAAAGTGTTGAACTGAGCCACAGATGTAATCATTAAAATCCAGACTCTGAGAAACACTAGAACAACATAGTTTCTTCTTTTTTGAGATGGAGTCTTGCTCTGTCACCCAGGCTGGAGTGCAGTGGCACAATCTCAGCTCACTGCAACCTCCGCCTCCCAGATTCAAGTGATTCTTCCGCCTCAGCCTCCTGAGCAGCTGGGAATACAGACACGTGCCACCAAGGTCCCGCTAATTTTTGTATTTTTTTTTCAGTAGAGATGGGGTTTCACCATATTGGCCAGGCTAGTCTCAAATTCCTGATCTCGTGATCCACCCGCCTCGGCCTCCCAAAGTGCTGGGATTACAGGCACGAGCCACCGCGCCCAGCTACAACGTGGTTTCTTGAACAAAAAAAAAAATTACCAAAGAGAGGTAGTAAAATAGACTATAGACTAAAAGGTTAGACTTAAAGGTCATTATCAACCAACTGCAAGGTAGAGACTTTATATAGATCCTGATTCAAACCATTACCAAAATAACTATGACATCTGAGACAAATGGATATTTGAATACTAGATACCTGAAGATATTAAAGAATGAAGGGGTGATAATGGTATTGTGGATATATACATATGCAGATATAGTCTGTATCTTTAAAAGACAAGGATTCTTTAACATCAGTTATATATATGTTATATATGTATATGTAACTCATGTTAAAGAATCCTTATCCATATATAAATATACACACACACTCATTTTAAATAATCCTTTCCCTCTTTCAAAGATACAGACTAGACTGCCAATAAAATAATATCCACTCTGGAATTTGCCTGAGAATAATTCAGGAGGAGGAAGTTGGAGGGAAATAGATCAAACAAACTTGGGCATTTGATAATTTCCCCTCCTACGTGAGTAGAGTGGTTAATAACTGTTGAAGCTGAGTGATAAGTATATGAGGGTTTCTTATATGGATTCTACCTACTTTTGTTTGAAAATTTCCCTAGCAAGTTAGAAAGTCAAACATTTACAAAATATATGTAAATGAAAAATGGGTCATTTAAAAGTGCTAACCACAAACTTGAATATATTTTAATATTTTCAATATTTAATATATCTATTTTAATATTTTCAACATTTATCTAATATATTCTAATATTTTAGATAACAAAAAGGAATCTGAGGACACTAAGACTCAGATCAATCTAAGGCAACAGATCAGTTTTGTTAGGTGGGGATAATGGCACTGTGGTTATGGGGGGAAAATATCTTTTTAAAAGACACATACCAACGTAATTAGAGCCAACATGACATCTCTAGAATTTGCTTTCTTTGGATTTGCAAACAGTTTATTTTACAGAAATTCAACATTATAAACAGCAGGCACTTCCCCCCCACTGCCCCTCTCCTCCATCCGCCCCCGCCCGTCCCACCAGGTGCAGATCATGCTATGCAGAGAGCGAGCAGCAATGCGATCCCACTGCTTTGGAGTGAGAGTCGAGAGCGATGGAACCTGCCTGCACCACATCCATCCTGCCTGCCGCGCACATGCACACGCCTGCTCGCTGCGCAGGCCATCAGAAACCTGGCCCAGCCCGCGCTGGACCCAGCCCACTTCTCCAAATCCTTCATGTCGTCGTCTTCCTCTTCTTTCTTCTTGGCGGGTTTTGATGGTAGGGCTATAGAGGGAACACTTGGTAGAGGGACTGTTTCGGGTCCACTGATTTCCAGCAAATTTTTGTCTAGTTCCTCCTGTTCTAGTTCTTAATTCCACCATGAGCTCATCCTCGTCAAACTTCTCTCCAAACCCTACAGGTTTCAAAATTGCTGTTGAAATCTCCTCCGCAAATTCTTGATGGTCAGCAATGTCCTGCGTTAACTCATCAACTTTATCGATGTCCATGTTGTCATGTGCCGCCTTCATGGCCTTGGCGGCACAGCTCATGTTCTTGAGCACCTCGTTGTTGGTGTTGGCATTCTCCAGGGCCTGCCGCTGGAACTCGATGGTTGATAATGTGCCGTCGATTTGCGCCAGCTGCTTCTCATACCTCTTCTTACGCTTCAGTGCCTGGAGGGCCGCGCGCTTGTTTTTGGTGCCCTGCTTCTTGGCAGCAGTCAGCTCCTGCTCGATTTTCTTCTTCAGGAACTCCTGTTTCTTGCTTAACATCTCCTCCGTGTCCTGCAGCCGCTGGATGGCCTCCTGAGGGATCGGGCCGCCCTTGCCGGCCTTACCCGCCTCCAGTCCCGAACAGTGTCCGAAACACCTACACGGTTGCTGCTCGCCGCGCCAGCCTTCGCCACCCGCTCCAGTTCAGCTCACTCCCAGTCCCGCCGCTCCCTGCTGCCGCAGGCCTCTCCTCCGCCTCTGCCCTTCCCAATTTGCTTTTTTTAAAAGCTGAGGACAAGAACAAGTAGGTCAAATGTAGGGGTGGGATAAAACTAACTGCTACAAACATAAGGGCTCACTGACTCTACTTCTGTGTATGTTTCCATTTTAAAAAGTAGTAATAACAGTAGCAGTAAAATAGATTTCAAGGACTTCCTCCACTCATCCAGGAGGGTAAAAAAGAGAAATAATCCTAGTTCAAATAAGGGTCAAGTATGGGAGAAGGGGGAGGAACCACTACACCAGGGGTGTCCAATCTTTTGGCTTCCCTGGGCCACAATGGCAGAACTGTGTTGGGCCACACGGAAAATACACTAACGATATTTGGTGAGCTTAAAAAAACAATCTCAAAAAAAAAAACTCATAGTGTTTTAAGAAAGTTTATAAATTTGTGTTGGGCCGCATTCAAAGCCACCACAAGCTGCGGGTTGGACAAGCTTGCACTACACATTTAACTCACCTGAGTTTCACAAATAATCAGCAGAGGGTGTGGTGAGGGAAGTTTCAACAATGTTCCTTCACTTACTGGAAGCAAAAAAAGTGTTTTGGGAAAAGAATTATTTCCTCCTGCCAGTCCTGCCCTAGACATCCATTTACAAAGAAACTTTCAACATTTCTCAAGTCCAAGAAGTGGACGGCCAGTGTTTGTTTTCTATGGAACAAAGAAAGCTTCCCTAACATCCTAAGACGTACAATTCTGATTATACATACACAGTTTCTGGGCGTGAAAACAGTTATTTTTTCATTCCCGGTTTTTTGGCTGTGCTCCAAGGTTTTTTTTTTTTTTTTTAATCAAGTAATCTTCAGTGAGATCCTTTCTTGGGAAGAAGTAGAGGGTTTTTCAAAGACTTTTATGAAAATATTTGCACATATACATTTTAGCATTTCATGTAATGATACCAAGTGTTCTTTGAGGTTCTAAAAAGAAAAACAATCTAAAATTACCTAATCCTGTCAAAATTTCCAACAGAGGCTATCACTACCATATGTAAATCACATAATCGTTTTTGCTAGTAAAGAGAAAGGGAAATTAACATGCTCTCAGCACTTACTATATATTAGGCATTTAATATGTATTTTAAGCCAAATCTTCCTAACAACCCTAATAGGTGGGTACTATTATTGTTCAAATATTACAGATGAGAAAACTGGGGCACCAAGAGGCTAGTAAGGTGTTAAGTAACTTAGGGCACCAAACAGTAAATGGCAGAACCAGGACTGAACCCTAGCAGTCTGACTGCAACATTTGAACTACTCTATGTTAATATTGACATAGGAGTTAAAAAGAAATTACTGGCCGGGCACAGTGGCTCATGCCTGTAATCCCAGCACTTTGGGAGGCCGAGGCACGTAGATCACGAGGTCAAGACATGAGACCATCCTGGCTAACACGGTGAAACCCCGTCTCTACTAAAAATACAAAAAATTAGCCTGGCGTGGTGGCGGGCGCCTGTAGGGCCCAGCTACTCAGGGGGCTGAGGCAGGAGAATGGCGTGAACCTGAGACGCGGAGCTTACAGTGAGCCGAGATCGCGCCACTGCACTCTAGCCTGGGCGACAGAGCGAGACTCCATCTCAAAAACAAAAACAAAACAAAAGAAAAAAAAAACAGGGCCGGGCGCGGCGGCTCAAGCCTATAATCCCAGCACTTCCGGAGGCCGAGACGGGTGGATCAAGAGGTCAGGAGATCGAGACCATCCTGGCTAACACGGTGAAACCCCATCTCTACTAAAAAATACAAAAAACTAGCCGGGCGAGGTGGCGGGCGCCTGTAGTCCCAGCTACTCGGGAGGCTGAGGCAGGAGAATGGCATAAATCCGGGAGGTGGAGCTTCCAGTGAGCTGAGATCCGGCAACTGCACCCCAGCCTGGGCGACACAGCAAGACTCCATCTCAAAAAAAAAAAAAAAAGAAAAAAAAAAGCAGAAATTACTTAGGCAGATAGGGTACGCGAGTCCTCGGTAAGGTTTTCCTTTTAATGAAAAGCAGCCCCAAATCATTTTCCTAACAAACAGCAGCCTGTAAAATAGAGCTGCAGACGTGGAAGCTGGCAGTTGTGCCAATCAGTTTCAAAATGGCGGCTCCATCTTCCCTTCTCTCTGCCAGCCACGTGTACTGTAAAGAGCAGCCAAAATGGCACCAGTCAAGGGGAAAGAACATTTGCATAGTAAGATTAGGGTGGGTCTCCCTACAACTGTAGATTCTAATTTACTCCCCTAAACTACTGTTTTAAAACAAATTAAAACTGATTTATGTACTGGAGATAACCAGGTATAGTCTGAAGCTCCTTAGAACAGAAATATATGTATGGTGGGGAATAAAATACATATTTTGTAGAAGACAAATGGCTAATTAAGGTTCAAAAGTAATTCACATTGAAGAATCAGAATATTCTAGTCAAAATTTTAAATTAAAAATTGTTTTCTATGGTAGGCAGAGGAAGACTGTTTCCATTACTATAATTTTGTATAAATTATGGGCAAGTTTTTCTTTTAAAAATCAAGAACAGTGGCTGGACGCCGTGGCTCATGCCTGTAATCCCAGCACTTTGGGAGCCCCA